TCTACCACACTATGGGGCAGAGAGTTCCACTGCTGAACAGCTCTCACAGTTAGGAAGTTAGGAAGTTCTTCCTCATGATTAGGTGGGATCTCCTTTCTTGTAGTTTGAAGCCATTGTTCCACATCCTAGTCTCCAGGGCAGCAGAAACAAGCCTTCTCCCTCCTCGCTATAACTTCCCCTCACATCTTGATCCATGGCACTCATATGTCTCTCTCAGCCTTCTCTTCTTCAGGCTAAACATGCCCAGCTCTTTAAGCCTCTCCTCATAGGGCTTGTTCTCCAGACCCTTGATCATTTGAGTTGCCCTCCTCTGGACACATTCCAGCTTTTCAACATCTCCCTTCAATTATGGTGCCCAGAATTGGACACACTCCTGACCAAAGCGGAATAGAGGGGTAGCATGACTTCCCTGGATCTAGACACTAGGCTCCTATTTATGCAAGACAAAATCCCATTGACTTTTTTTTTTTTTACCACTGAATGACATTGTTGGCTCATTCCTGTCCACAAAGACTCCAAGATCTTTTTCACACATACTGCTGTAAAGCCAGGCATTGTCTCCCATTCTGTATCTTTGCATTTCATTTTTTCTGCCTAAGTGGAGTATTTTGCATTTGTCCCTGCTGAAATTAATTTTGTTGGTTTTGGCCCATCATTTCTCTAATATGTTAAGATCATTTTGAATTCTGCTCCTGTCTTCTGGGGTATTGGCTCTTCCTCCCAATTTGGTGTCATCTCTAAACTTGATTATCATGCCTACTAATCCTTCATCTAAGTCTAGCCCGGTGGCGCAGTGGGTTAAACCCCTGTGCCGGCAGGACTGAAGACCAACAGGTCACAGGTTCGAATCCGGGGAGAGGCGGATGAGCTCCCTCTATCAGCTGCAGCTCCTCATGCAGGGTCATGAGAGAAGCCTCCCACAAGGATGATTAAAAAAATCAATTCATCCGGGCATCCCCTGGGCAGCGTCCTAGCAGACGGCCAATTCTCTAACACTAGAAGCGACTTGCAGTTTCTCAAGTCGCTCCTGACACAACAAAAAAAAAATCTAAGTCATTAATAAAGATGTTGAACAGAACCGGGCCCAGGACGAAACCCTGCTTCTGGCACTCCAGTTGCCACTTCTTTCCAGGATGAAGAGGAAGCATTGGGGAGACTCACCCTCTGGGTTCGTTCGCTTAACCAATTACAGATCCACCTAATTTTATTTTTGCCTAGCCCACATTTGATTAGTTTGTTTGTCAGAAGGTCATGGGGGACCGTGTTGAAGGAAGGCCTTCCTGAAATCCAGATACGCTCCATCCACGTCATTCCCTAGATCTACCCAGCTTGTAATTCTATTGAAGGAAGAGATCAGATTAGTCTGGCATGATTTGTTTTTGATAAATCCGATTATTAGCAATAACTGCATTTGTTTCTAAGAGTTTGCAGACCACTTCCTTCCAGAATCTTGCCTGGTATCAATGTGAGGCTGACCGGATGGTAATTGTTTGGGTCGCCCTTCTTGAAGATAGATAGGGACCACATTCGCCTTCCTCCAATCTGCTGGAATTTGTCCTGTTCTCCAAGAACTCTCAACGATGATTGCCAGTGGTTCTGAAACAACTTCCGCTAGTTCCTTCAATACTCTTGGATGTAGTTGATCTGGCCCTAGGGACTTGAATTTGTGTAGAGCAGCCAGGCATTCTTGGACAACTAGCTTCCCTATCTGAGGTTGGATTTCCCCATATCTGTTGTCCACTCCATGTTGTTGAGGTTGAGGATAGCTTTTGTTTTGTGAAAACCCTTGCAGTTCTCTGCCCAGATTAATATGTTTGCCTTTCAAACCTAAATATGTTATAGTTCGCCTACAATCAAAGAGCACTCTGAACCCCACCATCCATAGAATTGAACTACATTTGGCACACAGAACTCCTATGACTGACAGAAAATACTGGAAGAGTTTGGTGGGCATTGACTTTGAGTTTTGGAGTTGTAGTTCACCTATACCCAGAGCACTGTAGACTCAAACAGCCATGGATCAGGACCAAAGTTGGCACAAATTTTCAATATGCCCAGATGTGAACACTGGTGGAGTTTTGGGAAAATAGACCTTGACATTTGAGTTGTAGTTGCTGGGATTTATAGTTCATGTACAATCAAAGGGCACTCTGAACCTAGGCCACAATAGATCTGCACCAAACCTGGCACACTGCCTATATGGGTTGGGGGGGAGGGTTGTTTTTGAATTCTGGGAGTTGTAGTTCACCAACACCAAAAAGGAAGAGAAGGACAGGCAGAGAGATCTTCAGCTTTCTCTGCCAAAAGTGTTACTAAGAGCATAAAAATATGTGTTTTCTGATGGTCTCTGGCAACCACTCTGAAACTCCTCACGACCCCCCCCCCCCAGGGTCCTGAGCCCCAGGTTGAGAAACACTGGTGTAGATGCACCTTAGGAGGGTCTCTAATTCATAGATTCAGTATAATTCAAATTCAATGTGACAGCAATGACCAAGATTTATCTCTTTATTGCCATAGGAAATATCAGCAATCCTTAGTCACAAGAGTAGGAAGGGACCATTGCTAGTAATGTTCACAAATTAAGCCGGAAACTATCTTGACACACCCAGATTGTAAACAAGGTCATGGAAAAGTTACTATATCTAGAATTTTACTGTGATGAGCCATTCGCTTGTGAACCGTTTCTCCACACTATTTTTTTTCCCATTGGGCAACAGGCCAAACACAGTTACACGAAAATCATTTTGTGGGAGGGAAACGAAACAAAAAACAGCTTCTGTGCAATCTAAGTGGTCAAAGTGTATTTTGATACCACGACTAATGAGACAGTATAAATACGAGAGAAGAGTAGTATTGGTAGGACTGGAAGCCAACAGAACAGACTCACATCCTTTGCACAAATCCACTATACTTAAAGGTAACTAACACGTTTTAGGGGGGTGGCAGGAATGTTTTCCCAGGGAAGATAGTCTGTATCTGCAGCCTTTTTTGCAATTAAATTCCAGGTTTGATTCATGGCACATCATGGGAAAAAAGCACTGGAGAAAAGGTTATCAGAAAAGGGGGTACTTTCCACCTTTCTTGAATTGAACAATCCCAATTAATCCTCTGTCATCCCACTTTTTCAAATGCTTTCTTTAAAAATCTTCTGGTTTCCTCCTCTTCTTCCCCTTTCATCCTTTGGTTTTTAGTTTTCTTCAGTTGCAGCAAATTAAATTCAAAGTAGTTTGCTCTCACTTCACTTGAGATAGGGAAAGAAGAGAAGAGAGTAGAATCTTGCCATTCTCCGTAGAATTGATGCCATGTCTCCTAGTTTGCATGTTCTTCATTAATTTGGCCATTTTGAACTTGCTTTGTTACATAAGTTTCAACTGTCATCCTGTGACACAGGCCCCTTCCACTCTACTGAATAAAATCCTACATTTTCTGCTTTGAACCGGAATATATGGCAGTGTGGACTCAGATAACCCAGTTCAAAGCAGATATTGTAGGATTTTCTGTCTGGATATTCTGGGTTATATGGCTGTGTGAAAGGGCCCTGAGTCCACACTCAGATAATGTGGGATTTCCTGCCTTGATATTTTGGGATATAGGGCTGTGTGGAAGGGTCCTATGTGTTACTGACCATTGCTTTTTTTTTAGTCTATTCCCATTGGGATGAACTAATTTGATTTATTTTGAAATTATATTTGTTTTTTTCCATTCCTGTCTGATCTCAAAATCTAAGGAGAGCCAAGTCTGGTTTGTACTTGGAAAGCATACAATTTTTTCCCGCGTCAGAAGTGACTTAAGAAACTGCAAGTCGCTTCTGGTGTGAGAGAATTGGCCATCTGCAAGGACGTTGCCCAGTGGACACCCGGACATTTGATGTTTTACCATCCTTCTGGGAGGCTTCTCTCATGTCCCTGCATGGGAAGCTGGAGCTGACAGAGGGAGCCCAACCCGCTCTCCCTGGATTCAAACCGCTGACCTATTGGTCAGCAGTCCTGCCAGAATAATGGTTTAACCCATTGCACCACCAACATGCTATATTTGAAGGAAGGTACTGGCAAATGTCCTTTGAAGAATTCTTGCCCTGAAAAATCCAGAGTAGGTTTACCTTATGGCCCCTTTGACACTGCTTTACATCCAGATTTTGAAAGCAGATAAACCACATTATCTGCTTTGAACTAGATTATGAGTCTACATTGCCATATAATCCAATTCAAATCACATAATCTGGATTTTACATAGCAGTGTAGAAGGGGCCTAAGTTGGAGTCAACTTGATGGACCATAACAATAAAATAATATTCTGTTAAGGACTGAAGAAAAATTCCTATTTAATATAGATAGTAAAGGTAAAGGTTTCCTCTTGACATTCAGGGCCCTTCCACACAGCCATATAACCCAGAATATCAAGGCAGATAATCTCAATATCTGCTTTGAACTGGGTTATTTGAGTCCACACTGCCATATATTCCAGTTCAAAGCAGACAATGTGGGATTTTATACAGCTGTGTGGAAGGGGCCTAAGTCTAGTTGTATCCAACTCTGAGGGGTGGTGCTCATCTCCATTTCTAAACCGAAGAGATGTTATTGTCCATAGACGCCTCCAGGGTCATGTGGCCACCATGACTGCATAGAGAGCCGTTACCTTCCTGCCAGAGTGGTACCTATTGATCTACTCACATTTGTATGTTTTCAAACTGCCAGCTTGGCAGAAGCTGGGGCTAACAGCGGAAGCTCCCCCCGCTCCCTGGATTCAAACTGCCAACCTTTCGACCAGCAAGTTCAGGGGCTCAGTGGTTTAACCCGCTATGCCACTGGGGGCTCCTTAAACAGATAAGTAAATGGAATTCATGTCAAAGCTCCATAGCTTGTGCTATGTTTCGACTTCCGTATTGTTATACCGAGTCCAACTGGGTGTTTTAATGTCTTTAACATTTCAGTTCTCTGGACCCGGGAGCCTGGTGGAATATTCCTCTTCATCCAAAACATATCCTCCCAATTCTCAGAATCATGAATCCACTGTTCTTCTACCTTTTTGTAGCATTGATAGGCACAGGTAAGTCCAGGAGTGGAATAATGGAACAGCAAAGGCACTGCCCTTTCAATATGCTCACTGGTCATCACTCGTGTTGTGGTAAGAAAGGAGAACATAATACAACCCACTGGCTGCAAGTGAGCCCTTACATCAGTGGTTCTTAGCCTGTGGGTCCCCAAGTGTTTTGGCCTTTAACTCCCAGAAATCCTAACAGCTGGTAAACTGGCTGGGATTTCTGGAAGTTGTAGGCAACACACACAAAATGATCTATGTCAGGAAAAAAATACTCAAGGAGCATAAAATATATGATATTCAGTATATAGTTCAGTGTAATTCAATGTATTCATATAGAGTGAAATGAAAAGGAGCAACTGCTCTCAAACATAATAATTGTAATACAAACATCTATATAAATAAAAATGTAATGTTAGTTTGTGGGATTAACAAAACTTTAAAAGAATTAGGTAAGTGATTACATTGTGTCAAGTGTAAATATAAAGAGGATTCAGTAGAAAGACATTTAATTCTGGATTTATGTTCTGAGATTCTGATTCTTAGGGGTCTAGTCGTTTTGCCAACATACTACAGATCACAATCACATGTCAAGAGGTAAATGACATTGCTACTGTTGCAAGTGGAGAAATGTTAAGTGTAGTGCCCACTTTGTTTCTATAGTTATAGACCTCCTTGGTCTTCCAGGATTGTGAGCAGCATTTACAATGTCCACAGCGGTAGTGGCCTCTCAAGGTACTTTTGGATGTAATGTTAAGTCAGTATGAATTAAGAAATGTCATAAGAAAAGCATTAGATAAGGTTGACAAAATAGATAGAACCACCTTACTGAAAGAATATTCCAAATCCACCAAAAATCAAATCATTTGGACTCAAGACTACTCACACTACTCCAAACACATCACCCAAATTATAAAAAAGCACTGACATCTTCTACAGGATATTCCTGGTTGTGAAGGATTGCCCATTTTCGGCAATAGAATCATAGAAATCATAGAATCATAGAATAGAATCAAAGAGTTGGAAGAGACCTCATGGGCCATCCAGTCCAACCCCCTGCCAAGAAGCAGGAATATTGCATTCAAATAACCCCTGACAGATGGCCACCCAGCCTCTGTTTAAAAGCTTCCAAAGAAGGAGCCTCCACCACACTTCAGGGCAGAGAGTTCCACTGCTGAACGGCTCTCACAGTCAGGAAGTTCTTCCTCATGTTCAGATGGAATCTCCTCTCTTGTAGTTTGAAGCCATTGTTCCGCGTCCTAGTCTCCATGGAAGCAGAAAACAAGCTTGCTCCCTCCTCCCTGTGGCTTCCTCTCACATATTTATACATGGCTATCATATCTCCTCTCAGCCTTCTCTTCTTCAGGCTAAACATGCCCAGCTCCTTAAGCCGCTCCTCATAGGGCTTGTTCTCCAGACCCTTGATTATAGATGTATCAAAAATATAAGAGATTTCTTAATTCCGTTTAGCAAATGTGAATCTCCATGAACATGTGGAAACCACTTTTTGAAAACCACTAGTCAAGGAAAGCATGACCTTGTTAGAAGTCAACCCTTTGAACAAGTGATATTCATGTGCATTCATGTAATGGCACATAGGTATCTCAGCTGTTAAACTGAAGAACCATGTCTTCCAAGGATAAAGACATGCCACTACAAAATGTATTTGGTTAGCAGAGGATGGTTGTTTCTTTGAATGTACCCAAGAGACAAAAACGAAGTAGTCATCTTTAAAAATAACATCTCAGGTTCACTAACAAACTTCTTGTATATATTCAACATACTAGTCCATAGTTCATTATCTTTAAGTATAGGGTGATAGTATGATAGCTGGGTCTGGAAGCTCCAAGCTTTATGCACATTCTGCAATGGAAGCTGTGAATACGGGGAGGGGAGAGCGGCACACTGAGGGCGGAAAAATACTTCATAGTTGCATTTGGTGGAAGGATAGAAAGGAGGGGATGGTTAGGATAAGGTTTAGGGTAAGGCTTAGGGTTTGGGGTAGGGTATGGGATAGATTAGGGTTAGGGGTTAGAGTTAGGGTAAAGTTTAAGGTTTGGGTTAAGGTTAGGATAAGGGTTTGGGTTAGGATTAGGGTAAGGGTTCAGGTAAGGGTTAGGATTTTACCATCAAAAACTCTTACATTCCTTCTATAATATCTGTGTTCTGTTCTGCGTTGCGCAAACAGAGCTCCCGAAGGAGCGAAGCGGGAACAGCGTAATGCTCAGAGCTTCCGAACCTAGCTTTCATACTATTACCAAGTATAGCTGTACTCACTGAAGTCCGTAAGTCATACTTCTCTACTAAAGTCCAAAAAGCAGCATGCATCCACCTCCACTGAGGTCTGATGCAAACACATCCAGCTCCAATGGGATGATAAGCAGACTGAATACAAAAAAGGAGTCCTCTGTCTGAAGTCCCTCCCACACCAGAGAAGTAGAGCCAAACTGGCAAACCAAAATGTACGTGCAATATAGGTTAACAATTATACACATTTACAAACAGTTAGTGGTTGCTTGGAAGGTTGCTATTTCCAATGAATCATGTCATATTTTTTGCTTTTCTCTTCATAGCAAGCTGTATAACCTGTGAATGTACTAACTGTGATACTGCTACTACCTGTGAAACTAAAACTACAGAATCCTGCTATGGATTAGCAGTAGCACACAGCCTAGGTAAGTCCCTATAGCTTCAAGAAGCTCTTCAGACAGCTTTAAATTGACTGATGCTCTTTTTTCCTTCCTAGTTTGTGCCATCTAAATGAGAGACCACTGAAAGAACTGAGCATCAACTACCCTGCTCAGATCTTGCAAATTTGGGGCACATGGCTTCCTTTATTGAATTAGTCTATTTGTAGTATAGGGCTATTGCCTCTTACTTCATACATAATAACCTTTTGCCCCCAAACCACCGAAATAACGAGACGACACAACAATATGGAATAACTACGGGCAACTTTTATTAATGTTGCCTATTTAACTTTTCTGTGACCTGCAAACCAATTTTAAAGGGTTTTAACTTGGTGTGGAAAAAGCTGAGGCAGTGGTAATCCAAGACCTACCTCTCAGCTAATATGGGTGAGACACCTGGGTCCCCAAATGTAATAAAAATGCTCTGGTTCAGGGAAATGGCACAGATAATACTGTCCCAAGTCCAGAGGATTTATTGAGACCAGAATTCTCCTTGCCCCAGGGCCATTTCCTTGGCTTTCACCTTGGTTGTTTAACCGCAGGTGAGGGTTCCTGTTCTTGGCCTACATCACAAAGGGGTGTCTTAGATGTACACTGAGATGTGAATCCATCCCTTTTCCCAACACAGATTAGGGGCAAGCATCTACTTTGCCCCTATCCCCCGCCAAGCCTTCCAAAACAGCCCTGATGCTCCCTTGCAGGTCACAAAGAAATTGTTGGTTAACTAAGTCCGAGAGGTCGATGCCATCTGCTTGGAAGAAATCTTTCCTGTCATGAGTTATTTTGTGATGAGGTATGAAAGATTCCAGACCATTGCTTAAGGTCTTGTAAATTGCCTGATTCTCTTTTTCTGGTTCCATTGAGCCTTTTGACATCACCCCTTCCTGGTTGCTATGGGGAGTGGAGGGGGCAGAACGCCTGCATGAGCCATCTGGTTGCACAGCTAGCTGGCAGCTGAAGGAAGAACGAGCAGTGTGTGTCAATGCTCGGTTGAGGCCAGGGAAGGGGCACACTGCTATCAAGCCAGGCTGCAGTGCTAACCAATTGGCATGGAAATGGTAGCCAGGTGGCAAGGGCTGCCCCTCCATATGAAAACGGAGACCATTCCTCCTCAAGTGTGGCCACCCAGTGACCCTGCCTCGACCMTTGTAATGAGGGTGAAGCCACTAAGTGCCCGGTGATTTTGGCCCCAGCTGACCAAGGACGATTGGGAGGTGGCACAGCCGCCCCCACCAGAAAGCAGCTGAGCTGAGTCACCTGAAATCATGGCTACCATGTTAGTAAAAGGAGAGGGGCTCACTGAGAAGGGGGATAGAAAACCCTCCCTGATCCGTACAGCCCCAAAACAGTAGAAAATAGAGCCGTTGGGAACCAAAGTTCCTCCAACTTCTAAATGCTGGGGGGGGGGGGGAGGAATAAAGGCAAAATAAAGCTCCCCACCCATGCCCATTCCCAGAGTCATGGCTACAGTGGCATGCCATGGATCCATGTCCCTGTATCCCCAGGGGCAGACAGCGTGTGGGCAAGCAACCAAGGTCAAACCCCTCTCTTCCCTATATATAGGAGCTCAGATTGCTGCAGCTGTCTTGGTCCAGTGCTAGATCTTAAGTGAACTCTAGGATGGGGCTGCATAGTTGAGCTACTCCTGGCAGGGACTATTTTCCACCAATCTCTATCACTGAAGGTGAGCAAATTGTTCTCTGACTCCAAGTAGCAGGGGTGGAAAGCTAATTTATTTGAGTCATTTCATGACATGTCCAAAAGATGATAGCCTTGGTTTAGTCATCTTAACTTCATTAACACCCATCAATAGTCTGCTCTGATCATGAAAATCTAGGGCTGTGGCTTCTTTGGTGTAGTCTAACTACCTGTAATGGGATCATTTTGTATCAGATTGAGTTGTTGTAGGTTTTTCGGGCTATATGGCCATGTTCTAGAAGCATTCTCTCCTAACGTTTTGCCTGCATCTATGGCAGGCATCCTCAGAGGTTGTGAGGTCTTTGAGGATGCCTGCCATAGATGCAGGCGAAACATCAGGAGAGAATGCTTCTAGAACATGGCCATATAACCCGAAAAACCTACAACAACCCAGTGATTCCGGCCATGAAAGTCTTCAACAACAATACATTGTATCAGATTGTTGCAAAATGCCATAAAGAGTTGTTCCATTGAACTAGATCAGGTTGATTTCAGTTCATTTTTAGTAATTCTGAAAACATTCAAGTGTTATCTATTCAGGACAGAGGGGGGAAAGCTTTCAAAAAGTGGCAGAAAACATAAACTGCTGTCCCTCTTCCAAAACTATATCAATAATTATTGGACAATGATTATTACAGGGGCCTATGATACCTTAAAGACTAACCATTGATCAYGGCACACATTTTCATGTATTATCCCTGAAAGCTTGAAAAATAATAAAGTTATTATTAAGGTGCCATGGAATTTTTTGATTGTTAATGCCTAAACAGAACATAGCAGCTGCCTGCTACCCATTTCCTAACTGTACTGATTCTTTCCTTCCCTTCAAACAGGAAGCTCCCCCACAACATATAAAGAGCAGGGCTGTATGCCTAGTTCTGACTGTAAAGATGGGAGCGTTAGTGTAACGGTGGGAAAAGGAATTTATATGAGGACCAATACCAGGTGCTGCATAACAAACAACTGCAATACAGTCCCTGAAGGTATGTTGACTCAACATTTGTTTAAGGATAAGATGGAACCACAAAAATGTTTTCAAACTCACAACATATTTACTTTGTTGCTTGTTAACTTAGAGAAATGCAATAATAGCATTTAAGGCAATGGTTCTCAACCTTCAGAATGCCACGAACCTTTAATACATTCCCTCATGTTGTGGTGATCCCCATCCATAAAATTATTTTTGTTGCTGCTGCTTAACTGTAATTTTGCTACTGATATGAATCATAATGTAAATATCTGATATTCAGGCTGTATTTTCATTCACTGGACCAAATTTGGCACAAATACCCAATACACCCCAAATTTGAATACTGGTGGGGTTGGCGCAGGTGTGTGTGTGTTGATTTTGTCATTTGGGAGTTGTAGCTGATGGTATTTATAGTTCACTTACAATCAAAGAGCATTCTGAACTCCACCAATGATGGAATTGAGCCAAACTTGGCACACAGAACTCCCATGACCAATTTATTTTATTTATTTATTTACAGCTTTTATATTCCGCCCTTCTCACCCTGCAGGGGACTCAGGGCGGATTACAGTGTACACATATATAGCAAACATTCAATGCCAATTTTGACATATAAACATATACAGACATACACAGAGGCTATTTAACTTTTTCTGGCCGCCAGGGGAGCTGTCGCTTTCATCGTCCATGTGCGATGCTGATGAAGTACTTCCACATTCCCCACATGCTTCTCCACTGGAATGCTCTGCTGGAGTCTTCTTTATGGCCTCATAAATTAGTTAATTTAGCCTCCTCACACTTTAAGGTGGTACCTAATTTTCCTACTTTACAGATGCAACTGTCTTTTGGGTTGCAAAGGTCAACAACAGGCTACATACAATTGGTTGGAAACCCACTCCAACCCGGGCTGGCTTTGAACTCATGACCTTTTGGTCAGAGTGATCTTAATGCAGCTGACACTCAGCCAGCTGCACCACAATCCCAACAGAAAATACTGGAACGGTTTGGTGGGCACTGACCTTGAGTTTTGGAGTTGCAGTTTACCTATATCCAGAGAGCACTGTGGACTCAAACAATGATGGATCTGGACCAAACTTGGGAGAATACTCAATATGCCCAAATGTGAACACTGGTGGTGTTTGGGAAAAAATGATCTTGACATTTGGGAGTTGTAGTTTCTGGGATTTATAGTTCACCTACAATTAAAGAGCATTCTGGACCTCACCAATGATAGAATTGGGCCAAACTTCATACACAGAACCCCCATGCATGACCAATAGAAAATACTGTGTTTTCTGTTTGTCTTTGGTGACCCCTCTGACACTCCCTCATGATCCCCCCCCCCCGGGGTCCCGATCCCCAGGTTGAAAATGCTGATCTAGAGAAATTGTATTCTTATTAATATTAATTACCGTACTATGCTCAGTCTGAAGTGTACATAGAAGAATATTCAAACATAATTGACACATAGTCCCTAGTTATATTTCATACAAGAAACAAGAGGAAGAATTCAGAAGAAAGAGAGCTGGGTGTGTGTCTAAAAATGTGCATAATGTTTGGCACATGAAACTCTTGTCGTATTTGTCTTACGAAGTCTTTTGGCTTACAAGTTTAGCAGACATATTTACATAATGGATGGGAATTATGTGGTAAGGACCAAAGGAAGTCATTGAATTGTCCAGCAATATCCATGATGTATGACCAAAGTAAGAGATTCAGTTGCCAAATGTTTATAGAGAAGGAATGTGACATATATTGAAACAGTAGGCCTGGGTAACAACGGAAAAATTTGTTTCTAAAATCGATTTGTATTTGGGGGGTTTTTTTTGTTTCGATATTTAAAATAATTACAAAATTTTCCTTTTAAAAAGTTCGATATTTACGAAATTTCGTAAATGGTAAAAAATTAACTAATCGATTTCCGAAACAATAACGAATCGATTCGTTAATGGCGGACGCGACCGCGAAATACGCTAAAAAACCTCCAAAACCTTCTGAAGCTTCCCTCTCCCTCTGTTGTTGACTGTTGGTGTGATATTATATTTTTTTCACTAATTAAACCATAAAACTGGCCCAGACATGCGGAAATAATAACGAAACGACCTCAAAACAATAACGAAACGAATACAATATCGAAATACGAAGCATTTACAAAACGTTTTTTGAAATTCGTTTTTTTAAATAATTGCTCCAGAATGGTTCGTTATCGTTTTGTAATTGAAAAAATTAACGAATTATTAACGAATTACGAATTAACGAAACGAAACCGCCCAGCCCTATGAAACAGGTTTATTCACCAATTCTACCTTCCCATGCTTCAGTGCCAAAAGAAGACATAACAGTCAGCAAAGTGGAATGCCCTTCATGTTTTGGTCTCTATCCTGCCTCCTGCGAGCCTACAATGATGACCTGCGCTCAGTCAGAGAACCAATGCATCAACATTACTGGCGCTAATATAGGTAAGCTGTACTGTAATGAGCATGGATTCAGGTGCCATATTTATTCATTTCATATACACTTCCTGCTTATATATATTGAGACTAAGAGCCAACTGGCAAAGTAGGGATAGAAAAGGCAGGGATCCGGGGCACCTGTGCCAAAGGTTAAACATATCCAGCTTCCTCAACCATGCTGTATAGTACTTGGTTTACAGAATCTTGGCCAGAACATGGTTTCCTTCCTCCAGATATTTTCCACCAATACCCTTCCTAAGAATCTCTGCAACAAGGATGCATGTCCCTCTAGGATTTTCTTCATTGAAGTTTTCTGATACCCAAGAAACCCTTTTTATTCATTAAGGAATTCAAATGTTTATCAATATTTTTTCTATTCTTAGAGAAATTTTGATAAATACAAAGTAGGCCATGCTGCAACTGGCTTTGCCTTATATACAGTGCCATCTGCTGACTTCCATGGGAGTAGAATGGGAATCCACTCAGGAGTTTTAGACCAAATTGTAAAATAGTTATTGAAAGTTTCAAATTCTCTCCCTCCTTGAAAGGATAAAACCCAATACAGATGCTTCAGTGTCTAAATTAGTGGTTCCCAACCTTTTTTTGACCAGGGCCCACTTAACTGGGGGCCACTTTGACTGGGACCCACTTTAACCAGAGACCACTTGACCAGGGCCCACTTTGACTGGGGCCCACTTTGACTGGGACCCACTTTGACTGGGGACCACTTTGACCAGAGACCACTTGATCAGGCCCCACTTTGACTGGGGCACACTTTGACCAGGGCCCACTTTGACTGGGGCCCAGTTTGACTGGGACCCACTTTGACTGGGGACCACTTTGACCAGGGACCACTCTGACCAGGGACCACTCTCCAACATAAAGAGGAAGGAGGTTCAAGGACCGGATTTTCATTCTCATGGCCCACTGGTGAGCCACGGCCCACAGGTTGAAAACCACTGGTCTAAATGCAGAACGTGGATATTTAACTCTGAAATGGGTCAGTGATGAATGATCAACTATAACAATAATATACTTTATTTACATTCCGCTCTATCTCCCCAAGGGGACTCAGAGCAGATTACACATACATATATGGCAAACATTCAGTACAATTGACAAAGACAGGACAGTACATAAACAGAGGCAGGCTTCCCTCCTTTTTTCCATCTCTGACATTGAAAGGCTGTGCTCAGCTCTGCCGTGAGGAGGTGCTGTTGCTCCATTCTTCCATGACGAGAAGCTCTGTTGTTCATAGACACCTTCCTGATTGGACTGCCGGCATGTTTTTCAGAGGCACCTTTTTACTCCCAGCTAAAAGTGGTACCTATTTATCTACTCACATTGCTGTTTTCAAACTACTAGATAGGCAGAAGATAGGCTGACAGTGGGAGCTCACCCCATCCACGGCTTGAACTGCCAACCTTCTGGTCGGCAAGATCTTGTGTAGCTGGCAGTTAATCCGCTGTGCTAGCTGCAGCCTTAAATTAATATATTCTTCTTTTGAAAAATCCACAGCTTCATGTCTTGTCTTAGCTCATCAATACACTACCATATCTCTGTTCCTCATGCCCCTTGATCAGTGCATAAAAGGAAACAGGATACACAGGGATTTAAAAAAACAAACAAGTCCAGCTTAAGTAAAGGTAAAGGTTGTCCCCAGCTTATTACACTGCAAATGAGTGGCCCTACTGCCCTGCAGACCCTGAAAATATAGAATGAGGGGAGGGGGGCTTTGTTGTCTGAGATATAGGGCCTTTGGTCTCTTGTGTGGAATTCCAGTGTGGTATAATATTATCTATGATTCTTTCACAGCATCAATTGTCCAAATACCTTTTTCGGCTCGAGGGTGTGCTTCACCTTCGGCCACCAACATTCAACCACATTTGGGTCTCACTTCTGGTAACACTGTTTACATGGCTCACACCATCAGCCTTAAGACGCCCTCAAACAGTGCCGGCCTGGCTCCAGGGAGCAGCACTTTTGCCATCCTCCTGCCCAGTCTGATTGGAATCTCATTCACCAAATTCCTTTCTTGAACTCAGCGCTTCTGCTTACTTCCAAAAAACTTCCCTCCTCAAACTGGAGAGAGGCAACCTACAAGGAGAGGTGATGTTGACGTGAGAAGTTGAGATCATCCACTTCAGAACTGTTTGCAAGATTGGAACAGGAAAGAAATCTCAATAAAAAACGAATAATAAAAAAATACGTAGCCGTGCTCATCTGTATTGATATCAAAAGGGGTCTTCTAGCACATCTGCAATTAAGAGAACCAAGTACGTTGCATAAGCTTTTGTAGGCTGGGTTGACCCAGTTGAGGAAGTAGACTGGATTTGTCATTTGGGTACAATTTCTAATCGGGGGGGGGGGGGGGGGGAGCCATATGTGATGGGTTTGCATGTTAATGTGTTGTGGTGCTGTGTGTCATGATAGTAGAGATGGGGGTGAAGCTGAAAGGGCTATGAGGTCTCACAGTCCCCAGCCACTTCCACAGCCCTCCAGCCTCTCTGACAACCAAAGCTCACTGATCATTGGGGTGAAGCAGAACACATATATAGCGAGATGAGAATTTACTGATCACAGTGAGGGATAGCCAATAGTCCAGAGGACAGGAGTAGGATTCAAAATGATCTTGACAGATTAGAGAGATGGGCCAAGACCAACAAAATGAAGTTCAACGGGGACAAATGCAAGGTACTCCACTTAGGCAGGAAAAACGAAATGCAAAGATACAGAATGGGGGACAATGCCTGGCTCGAGAGCAGTACGTGTGAAAAAGATCTTGGAGTCCTCGTGGACAACAAGTTAAACATGAGCCAACAATGTGATGTGGCGGCAAAAAAAGCCAATGGGATTTTGGCCTGCATCAATAGGAGCATAGTGTCTAGATCTAGGGAAGTAATGCTACCCCTCTATTCTGCTTTGGTTAGACCACACCTGGAATATTGTGTCCAATTCTGGGCACCACAATTCAAGAGATATATTGACAAGCTGGAATGTGTCCAGAGGAGGGTGACTAAAATGATCAAGGGTCTGGAGAACAAGCCCTATGAGGAGCGGCTTAAGGAGCTGGGCATGTTTAGCCTGAAGAAGAGAAGGCTGAGAGGAGATATGATAGCCATGTATAAATATGTGAGAGGAAGCCACAGGGAGGAGGGAGCAAGCTTGTTTTCTGCTTCCCTGGAGACTAGGACGCAAGGGAACAATGGCTTCAAACTACAAGAGAGGAGATTCCATCTGAACATGAGGAAGAACTTCCTGACTGTGAGAGCCGTTCAGCAGTGGAACTCTCTGCCCGGAGTGTGGTGGAAGCTCCTTCTTTGGAAGCTTTTAAACAGAGGCTGGATGGCCATCTGTCAGGGGTGATTTAAATGCAATATTCCTGCTTCTTGGCAGGGGGTTGGACTGAATGGCCCAGGAGGTCTCTTCCAACTCTTTGATTCTATGATTCTATGATTCTACAACACATAGCAAGTGGATACCGGGAGGAAATAAGAAAGGCAACGATGAACAGACATTTCCCATCAGTGGATTGAAGCAGAACTATGTCAGAGATTACTCTCTGTTTGGGTCCCTGCAACAGACATCCCCAGATCCAAACTTGGTTTTGTGCACAAAATTATTAAAAAATGTCCTTGGCTATATTTATGACACATATAGAAAACATTTATTTATTTATTTACCATATTTATATATTACTTTTCTCAGCCTAAAAACGACTCAAGGCGGTTTACAATCGGCATAATTCAATGCCCCCAGCAACATAAAATATAATTAAAAACATTAACATATAATATAAACATATAAAAACAATAGGAACAATAAAAACAATAAAACATAACTCCTCAGTGTCTCGTTACTAAAATAATTTTCCAGTAAGCATCGTCCAATTGTTCCGTGGATCTAAATTAGCCTGTTACACTGCATTTGCAAATGCTTACTAAAAAAGTTAGGTTTTAACTCTTTTTCAAAATGTTAGGAGGGAGGGGGCTGATCTAACATCCCTAGGAAGGGTGTTCCATAGCTGAGGGGCCACCGCTGAGAAGGCCCTGTCTTTCATTCCTGCCAATCGCATCTGTGAGGGAGGCTGGACCGAGAGCAGGGCCTCCCCAGATGATCTTAAAGACCTGGATGGTTCATTGGACAGGTAAGCTGGGCCAGAACTGTTTAGGGCTTTTCGTGCTATTCATGTTTAGATGTAGATCCAATTTCATTATGTGTGTGTGTGTGTATGCAAATTCAATTATTCCATAATTTGAAAAAAAATGAAATCCAGAAACACTTCTTATGACCCCAAGCATTTTGGGTAACACAAACTCAACCTGTCGTCGTCATCATCTCCATCATCATTATCTTTTTCAAAAGTATTTTTATTGTAAAGACAGAATAGAATAATGTTAATGTCAGTAACCCTTTCATAGAACAAACAAAATGTAATTCACTTTATTTTCTTAAAATTATTTTTCATCATAATTATCATCACCATTTTATTTCTTATCCACCTCTCCTCGTGGCTCAAGGTGGGTAACAACATTTGTGCCGTCGCGCCTGGGGCTATAGAGAAAGAGGCATGGACGTGACTTCTTTCCCCAGGGGATTGCTTCTTGCCCTCCTTTAGGGAACTGGATCTCCCAAGGACCAGAACACAACAAGTGACTCGAAATGGTGTTTATTGTTAACAGTTAGTTCTCTTTCTTAGGTACAAATGTAATGTTTCAACTGGGAAAACCACTTTATAAACTCTAAAGTCCAGGGTCCTAGGAGTAATAAGCTGAGAAGCTTTTCCTTTCCCCCTCTCTCAATGGCTATGGATGCCGGAGCATATCACAACCCCAGTTCAGTGGCCTAAATTGAAGGACAAGACCTTCCTATGGTGCCAAAGAACTGGAATGAAGGCGCCTGAGGTCTTCACAATTCTATTCAGGGTGGTCTGAACGTAAAGAATAAGACTCAGGGGTAAAAACCTAAGAGTTGGTAGTAAAAAATGCCTTGACCAGAGGCTTTGGGCCAAGCTTTTGGACACGTCCATCCAATGAATCTTTAACTGAGGTAAAAAAGGTGAGGGAGAAACCTTCCCTTTCTCCCTTGGAAGGGGCGGAGCCTAAACAACTGAACTGGGGAAACAAACCAATTGGTGCACAACAACAATAAATTGACAGCTATAGCAACCAATGAAATTCAACCACACATGTACAAGGTAGACAGAAACAAAATGGCAGTTCAAAATCCTGCAACTAACAGCCCTAAATACATGAGGCGCCACACGCGCCGTCACAACATTGCTAAAAACACATAATCATCTAAAAGCATTCTATAAAATGCATGTATTAAAACTGTGGTGCTGGAGGAAAATTCTGAGAGTGCCTTGGACCGCAAGAAGATCCAACCAGTCCATACTCCAGGAAATAAAGCCTGACTGTTCTGAGTTCTGAGACACCAGAACTCAGAGAAGGCTAAAAACCTGGTAAAACTACGGGTCCCACAGTTGCTTTGTAGGGATGTGCACTCAATAAAAATGTTTCAAAAGTAATTATATTTCTTAAAATTGATATTCATTTTCATTATTGTATTGTTTTTAAGTGTTTTTTGCACTACAAATAAGGTATGTGCAGTGTGCCTAGGAATTCATTCATGGTTTTTTCAAATTATAATCTGGCCCTCCAACAATTTGAGGGACTGTGACCTGGCCCTCTGTTTAAAAAGTTTGTGGACCGCTGTTGTAGAGTTTATCAACAGGTGTAGGTTTAAGACATCCTGTGATTATTCTGCATGTTTCGTTCAATGCTATGTGTAAAGGCTTCTTCTTCGTTGTCTGATATTCTATTCAATCTAGTATGCTGCCACCATCTGTGAGGCATTAAGCTATGCTGTCATCAATTAATAAGGGTTTCCTATTCAGTTTATTAATGGATTCCCTTATTTTCAAATAGATTCACTGCTACCACTCTGTAGTGTTTCTTTTGGTGTGTAGCGAGGGGTTTTTTTCCCTTTGAGATAGTACACTGAGGTTTGAGTCACTAAAACAAGAACAAGTTTATTTGGAGTATGGAAGGGTCTTAATGGTTTCAGAGTTCTCTTCTCCTGAGGTATAAAGCTTCACGAGTTACAGTTTCAACAAATCTTAATATAACTTTAGGATGTCTTTTACTTCACCAACTAGTTCTTTAGTTGTTACACTTCTAAATATGTTTCCTTATTTGACAGATTAACTAAGGTCAGCTAATGCCCTTGTCTCCCTTCAGCTTCCTGCTGAAGTAAAGATTCCCAGTGGGATTTCTTCTCCTATTAGCACACAGCTAAACCACAAACCTAAATAAGTCCCCTTGACTTATTTAAATCACTCAGGCTAAAAGCTTTCCCTTAGTTTGGTTCACCACACGTTTGAACCACCTTCCCTTTGGCTCGATGACCAAAGGACTGAAGCCTCAAAATGTCTGCTTCTGGTAAGTGCAGTTGGCTCCACTCCTTTCTCCATGGCAACCCAACTCAAAGTGCTGAGCTTGGTCCCAGGCCCTCTATTTCTGCCATTTCTAAATGGTCAACCCTTTATGTACATCCATAACTGTCTTTTACCTCCTGAACACATACATATAATAATATTCAACCATCTAAGCATATATATATATATATATATATATATATATATATATATATATAATATACATATGTTGTGGCAGGGAAAGGTTTGATGAAAGGAGACACAG